TGGCTCCTTCATAGTCACGTGGTAAATATGCTCCTCCCTCAACTGAAGACTCTCATGGTCCCGACTGTAAGTATAAATTTAAGAATAAGTACCAAACGTATTTTACAAGAAGGAAAACACACAGCAGATTTATAATCTGACTTTTCAACCCATAAAACTTCCAAACTGTAGCCACCATTAATGGTAAAAATTACCACTAAAGAAACTTTAGATTATCAACAAAACTGTTCTTGACTCAAAAATTTTGATTAGACAACAGGAGAACTTGTAACCTAATAATAAAAAAATTGCATTTTAATATTGCATATGCATACAAACTTAACTTAGATATAAAATTAAATATCTGTATATTTTAAATGCCGGTATATTAAATCTGAAACCACTGTTCAAGGTACAGTAGAGTCTCAATTAGACGACCTAGTAACCAGCCACAGCATGGTCAAATAAAATGGAAAATAATAAAAAAACCAATGATAAATATAGCAAAAATGATCAAATAAAAGCTCTCTGTTAGTAACCCTATTAACTCCATTAACTTTATTTTTCATTCAAACCCAATTTTTCTCTGTTTCAAATCCATAATCACAAACAAAATTAAAAAAAAAAAACAACAAAGTGAATATTATCTTTGTTGTAAATGGGAAAACATATGATGAATTAATATTCGTCCACAGGTCTCCTATTGCATGACGAAGAAGAGAGGGGTAGCAGAGAAGTATGCAGAATTAAGTTGATGAGTATAATAATAAATCTTCCGAGTACAAACAAATAACCCGCTACTGTTATCATATCAGATGGGAATAGCAGAAGATTTCATGCTGCTCAATCTTCACCAGGAAGAGAGCTGATCTAGACTCAGAGCGCAGACTTCAGTACACGAGATCAGGGTTGCCACCAAAGTGAGATAAAAAAATTCATGCATAATTCAAGGTTTTCATTGGTAGTTTTGAAAAATTCATGGGGTATATGCTCGCACAATTTCACCATAAAAGAGTGTTGCCTAGTTCAGAATTGTACATTAATTTATCGACAATATATAGTTTTGTGTGCTACTATCAAATAAAACACATTTCATGCGTTTATTTTAGAGTTAATAATAAGAATTTAATATAATTTATCCAGTCTAAAAAAGTAAAATCACAGATGAAAAAGGATATTAATAAAAATCTTGTGTGGGATAATACGATGTACGGTAATTATTTAAAAAAATTGAAACATCTGATTTAACAACATCATAGGGCTAATGATAAATTCAAACGTTAGAAGAAATAATAAATAAAAAAATAAGTCGGATTGGTAGTTAGGTCTAGGCCTAACCTAAAAAACATTGCATCCAAACATAAAAGGTTTAACTTAGTTAATCCAGCAATGGCCTAGAACTTTACTGTCTAAACATCAAATTAAGATAATAGGCTACTATAAAAACAAATGTTAAGAACATGATCAAGAAACGGTTAACTTAGTAATGGGCCATATCTAGGCCTACTAAAACGCACATGCACTTTATTACTTTATACTGTAACACAGTAGGCTAGCCTACATTGTAATCCAAAGCTGAATCTAGGCTAAGTTAGGCCTGAACCAACTTTTATTTATTGAGAAGATTAAAGGTTACCGACTGACTGATAAAAACACACTAAAAAGGTAAGATTATGTAAATAAATATTTAGTTAAAGCTAAGAACGAAACAAAAGTTATGGAATGTATGTAAGTTTAGACATAGGCTAACTTACATTAAGTAATAAAAAAATAATTAATTACGTTACAGAAAAGGTTAAAATAAACTTAGTTAGGAGGATGTTTCTTCAGATTGGATCAGATTATATATTATTTTTTGCCTACACAGGTTTAAATCACAGTTAAAACAATTATTTAATTAAATTTACATCTCATTAGTTAGATTGGTATTGACTGAAAACACCTAGTTATATGCTTCAACAAAACATTTACATTTACCTTCCTCAGAACGAAATCACCATTTTTCAGCACAACATTGACTTCTTGCAACTTAGGCCTAAATAAATAAACTTAATCTCACGTTGTAACACATTTACTCAACACTGACAGTAGTTTGAAATGACGACATATTTGACCAAAACAAACACAGAAGACGATTAAGTTCCAGCCGGCGCAAGCCATTTTGACCTTTATGGCAAGGCAAGGTACTTCTTATTTTAACGTTGTAAAGTATCGGAAGTAGTAATAAAAAATATTTAATCTGAACACTTGTTCCACTGAATGTTGGGTAATCAATTATAAGAAGCACAAAACTGAATCACGAGTGCAACAAGTGATCTTACTGTCCAGTGTCCACCACTACTTCAAACGTTTGACTCGTTTCTAAGTTTCAGATCAGTTTAAAACTTTTAGGTTATGGTTACTCTGTATTTCCTTCCACACGAACACTAGAGTAGAGTAGAGAGTAGAGAACACGATTACTAGAAAAAACCCGGTATGGATCATAAACATCAACAAATGACGTTTTTGGCCCGAAAATAAACATGATTTAACATTGGTTAAATGGAACTGCTAAAACATATGTTCAATGCTATTAGTATAGGATTTAGGATTCGGGCTAGTAATCGTGGTAGAGAATGAGAGCGAGTATCAATTCCGATTGTCGATGTTTTCGAAACATCGATGTCTTTTCTATCGATGTTCGAAGTTATTTGTTTACATCGATGGTAGATTACCGAACCGATGATTTGGTTTGTTACATCGGTCTTTTAGGCCAACAAAAGTAATGAAATATTGATGTTTTCCGTAACTGAATTGTATTGGTTTTAGGTTAATTGGCTGTGTTAGTTTATTTAGACCAGACGAGAAACTCGGAACAAACATCGATGTGATCGATGTTTTAGCTCCGAAAGCATCGATTTTATCGGTAGATCGGTACTCGGTAGAGATGGGCGTTATAACATAACAGGATGAATAACAGTGTTGCGGCCACGGCAACGTTATCGCGGCAACACGTTGCGGAGAACTCCCTGTTATTATAATAACGTATCTATCTACACAATGTTGCAGGAAAGCCGCGCGACAACGAAAACGAAATCATGCATTGCCATTAGTGCCGTTGCCGCAACGCTACCAGAGCAACGATAACTTCTGAAACGAACTAGAATAACGCATCCTGTCTGGACAACGCGGCAACGCCCGACTCCCGAGCCCGACTACAACTGAAAACTGAACTGATCAACCGACAATGATAACTGAACGCCGCAATAGTCCAGGCAAACTAAACAAACTTACATAGGGACCGTTAAAAAAATTGCAAGAAAACGTTTTATGGTTTTATTTTGTAGAGTTGGGTTTGCAGAATGACATACTAAAAGTTGCCAAAAATCGGTGCACGAGAAAACCACTAAAATCACAATTTAAAATGGCGGCTTTTTTCAACATTGGACAAATTAAAAAAACATATTTCACATGCATTTGCTATGCACATTTTTCGAGATATTGACTTGGGACCACCACCTGTATTTATTGAGTGGTTAGTACTTCATTTTGATAGGGAACATGTTTTTGGCCGCCATCTTGGATCCGCCATATTGGACATAGATAATTTTTTTCAATGTAATGATAGTGTTGTGACACATCATTACCAACTACATTTTTACACTGATTTCAATGCCGAAATCCGTTTTTTAATAGCTTTATTCATTTAGAAGATATATACAAAAGAAAACTCTGCACCATACATTTCTTATGGACGTTTCGTAGTTTGATATTTTTTTAAAATTATTTTTCTTATATCTCCAGTTCTTATTAACGCTTGTAGTTCGTTCTAGGCTTAAAATATTCAGTAATGTAAGGGCTTTCATTTGAGCTCTTGATCATTAAAATCAGACGAGTTAAAGACCTGCTACGAACCTCAGAACAATATTAAATTTAACTTTTTAGAAATATATTTTCATTAAAAGATTTATAACTCGGGTTGTTAATATGTCACCAAGTTCTTTCTTGTCTCAAATTACTCAGTGAATGTTTAGCTTTGATTTTATTAATCACTAAACAAAATCTGACAATTTTAAAATGAGCCATGGACCATAATTTAACATTAAAATGTATTTATTTTGAAATTTGTCTTTAATTAAGGACATATATCCCAAACCCTAATAACTCCTGGAAAGTAATCCATAGCTAAAATAAAAGTCAATATTTTGGCGAATTATTTAAGACTATAAAGAGTTTTGGGAGTTATTTAGAATTAGGAATATACGTCTTTAACTAAAGACAAATTTCAATATAAATACATTCTAATGTTAAATTATGGTCCATGGCTCATTTTAAAATTTTCAGATTTTGTTTAATGATCAATAAAATTAAAGCCAAACATTTACTGAGGAATTTGAGACAAGAAAGAACTCGGTGACGTATTAACAACCCGAGTTATAAATCTTTTAATAAAAATATATTTCTAAAAAGTTAAATTTAATATTGTTCTGAGGTTCGTAGCAGGTCTTTAACTCGTCTGATTTTAATGATCAAGAGCTCAAATGAAAGCCCTTACATTACTGAATATTTTAAGCCTAGAACGAACTACAAGCGTTAATAAGAACTGGAGATATAAGAAAAATAATTTTAAAAAAAATATCAAACTACGAAACGTCCATAAGAAATGTATGGTGCAGAGTTTTCTTTTGTATATATCTTCTAAATGAATAAAGATATTTAAAAACGGATTTCGGCATTGAAATCAGTGTAAAAATGTAGTTGGTAATGATGTGTCACAACACTATCATTACATTGAAAAAAAAATTATCTATGTCCAATATGGCGGATCCAAGATGGCGGCCAAAAACATGTTCCCTATCAAAATGAAGTACTAACCACTCAATAAATACAGGCGGTGGTCCCAAGTCAATATCTTGAAAAATGTGCATAACAAATACATGTGAAATATGTTTTTTTAATTTGTCCAATGTTGAAAAAAGCCGCCATTTTAAATTGTGATTTTAGTGGTTTTCTCGTGCACCGATTTTTGGCAACTTTTAGTATGTCATTCTGCAAACCCAACTCTACAAAATAAAACCATAAAACGTTTTCTTGCAATTTTTTTAAGGTCATATCCTATATTTACCCGACTACAACACCGACCGGCGGACAACGGTTTATAGCGGCAACGAGTTGGCAATCGTTATTGAAATAACAGGTTGCCGCAACACGTTATTGGGCAGCTGCGTTATCGTTATAACCGTTGCCGGAAAACAACGATAATTCCCATCTCTAGACTACTCGGCTGACGTCGGTTACGATCGGATTTGACCTTGAATAAACTACGCAATCGTTTCTGTTCGTGGCATGGCAACAAAACTTTTTATCTCGACACTCCCACTTTGACGTTTTATCTCGGTGTTCATTTCGAGAATGGTTTTAATACGGAGTATTTGATTCAGCACATTTAGGGGTTTTGGCTGAATTGTTAATAATGATTTTGAGAATTCATGGTCCAATGACGAAATTCACGCATAATTCACGCACTTTTTCATGGTCACCTAAATTCACGCATAATTCACGCTTTTCAAGGTTTTCATGGCTGGTGGCAACCCTGGAGATCACAGTTTCAAGTCCCGCCAATCACTAATAGATTTTACCTAAGTGATAATGCCGCAACCCTCTTTTGCCTAAAGTCATGGATAAAACAGTTCCCGGCTAGATTCACGTCCCAGTATGTGAATGTTGGTAAAAATAAATAATACAAAATTAAAATTAATTTTCAGCAGGGAGAGGAATAACACGGCGAAGTTTCAAAACCAATGATCGGGTAATTGAGACTCATACTGTAAGATAAATCCCTTTCTTGTATGTCAAGCTGTTACAGTGACATTAATACATTTCAAAAAAATAAAATACAACATTTTGGCAATGATACCTTTTACTTCTTCTACCTTTTGCTAACATTCTGTCATCCATCTATCATTGATCCACTACATGACTAAAATAGTGTCTTCAAGGACTTATATCTTAAGTCTACTTAGGATGTAAGTTATAAGATAAGTTGTTGATCCTCAAATACAAGGACTATCTCAGACCCTTTAGGTCTGAGGCCCCTTAGGCCTATGCGAACTTACTAGTTGTTAAAACTCTAACCTAAATATTTCATCAATAAGTTGGTTCAATAAGAGTAATACTTATTAAAACTAGTTAACAATGATAAATTTTCACTAAAATGTGTTTAGTATATTGGTAGCTGGTCCATATGAGTACGTAAATGAGCAATCCTTCTTCACTACACATGACCAAAGACTTTACAAACTATAAAGTTACCGGTAAAGGAAATGTTTAACAATGTTTCCCCTGTGTTAGTTTAAAACTGTAATTTCAATCATCAAATGATTATATTATTATGAATGAGGTTAATTTTCTCACTAGATGGAAGAATGTTTGCTGCAGGTACAAACAGTTCAATACTGTTCAAAACGATGAATCATGATTGTTTGTAAGCACTAAAAAAAGTAACCCTGTAAATTCCTCAATTTGTTTTAACTGTAACATTTTACAGAGTAAAGAACTTTGATTGTTGAAGGGGGAAGAAACTTTGGTTAAATAATGTAAGAGGGCAATTAGCCAGCAATATAAAAGCTATGATCCGATTTTTGTAAAAAATATACTAAAAAAACTGTAAGTAAAAATTTGATATTATTTCAGTTGTACTCATATGGCACCACAAAATAAGTTGCCACTACTTTTGAAAAGTGATTTAAATATTTGATTATTTTATTGCCTCTCTATTTGTCTACCTATATTTTAAGAATAATTTCACTCCTCAAAGTGAATTTATGTTAAAGCTAATTTCTGAGTAAACTTGTCTTGAATCTTGAGTGAAAAGTGATTCTACCTTTAAGATTTTTATGTGAAATCGTAAGCATTGTGTACTTAGTAGTACCTCAATCCTGATTAGCCAAGTAGTTACCGTTTAATGTTTGTTCAAGGCAGTCATCACGGTTTCAACACAATCATTGCGACCGGGACCATCAGTTTGAGGAACCTGTCCAGAGAGTGTGACGAAGCCGTCGAGTTACGATACTCGAGACAGTGAAACTCGCAGCACGCTACGCCGTTCACCCACTTCTTACACTTTTTCTGGAAAAAAAATTCATTGAATAGTGTGCATCAATGTTGAGTCTTAATATTCATTTACACAGGCAGAAGGCGTTTACTTTGTTAAAGAGCACCAAATAACAGTCAAGCAGAGTTGTCAAGTGAAGTGTCTATGAGATTTTGATCTACACAGCTAGGAAGTGAGGAAGGACTTACTATCGGCATATATTGGGCGCAAGACATTGCATGAGTTACAGAATTATTTTCGCTTAATTCATAGGATGCTTGTTTTATGATGAGGTAGTTTAAGAGACCATTTCTTTTGTTTTCTTTTTCACAGAGGATACGCGTCCGGTAACCAGACGTGGATTAGGTGTCCGGTAGTGACGTCACCGGGTTGTGGGGTCCTGGAACGCCATTACCACAACGATACAATATTTGGCCAACGTTGTTCGTGGTGTAGTGGATAGAGTGCTCGGCTGATATCCAAGAGGTCCCTGGTTCGAAACCCATCGGTTTCTTTAACTTTTTGTCACATATTTTGCTTTGAATGTAATTTCTTCTTAACTGTACATCTTTTGTTAGAATTTTTGGCATTTATTATTTTATGTTATGAAGAGAATTGAACCTTCATTTGATTTTTTTCATTATCAGCAAGTTTTGTTGGTTAGGTAGGTTATGACAGTAACTGCCGGACGCCTAATCCACGTCTGGTTACCGGACGCGTATCCTCTGCGTTTCTTTTTACAGTGCAGGACAAATTATACTTTCAGTTTGAGATTTTGAGAGAGCTGATAGAGGAAATAGACACTTCTTCAAAAAAATCTACAATCAGTCACTTGGATAAAGGTCTACAGACAAATGGATCCATAATATTTTTTTTAGGAGCTCTTTATACAACTTGAAACTGAAAAGAGATCTAGCACCAGTGGCGGCAATAATAACCCCCAGGCCCTTCGTAAGTTTGTTTGCCAGGCCCCTGTTCCCCAATAATCTTTAAAAACATTATCACAGGTATTTCCCCCCAAACTTTATCTTTTGCTTGGCGCAGGATCCCCCGAGGCACCGAGGCGTCATCATTGTCTTCCATGATCGTGGAATAATTGTGAATACTTTCCGCAGTCAGGGAAACATTATCGTAGTCTACCTTGATTGCAGTCAAACCTATTACATCATCTCCCGCGAAAGCGACCCATTCCCTAATGTTTTCTGCGGTGACCGAATCATCATCTTTTTCGGTAATCGTAGCAAAATCCTAGATATATCTCCCACGGAAAAATAAACATCATCATCATATTCAGCGATAGCGTAAAAATCTTGAATATTTCACAAGGTGAAGGAAACATTAAAATTGTGGACAAAATATTGAAACTCTCGCGGCCGCGTTGACATCATCCGTGGGGAAATGTTCTCGTTAGCATCCCCGATTGCGGTAAAAGCTTTAGTGGGCATGTTCCTTGCAGACACGCTCTGCAGTCGCGATGTTATCGCGGACATAATAGCTCGACATGATCTCAATTTTCTGCCTTTGTGCTTGATATCCCATCAAGTTTGTAGGCCAGGCTCAGCTCAGTAATTGATATTCTATGTATTAAAAATCAACAGTTTCATAAGCAAACAGATTTTGAACTGACCTGATTTTGGCCCGAGATCCATAGGTAATATTTTTGACCTGACTCGAAGTAAACTAATCTAGTGTGCAGCCTCCTAATGGCATCAATGGAAGAATGGAATTATTAATTAGGTAGCGTCCTAGTCTCCTAGGTTTATTTGCCGATTTGATCGTTAAAAAATGGGGCCAAGTTCATTTGTTTGAAACGGCGTAGAGGGATATCTCTGGTGTTACCCGCTGGGGACCTTATCGTTTCTAACTGCCCTATTATAACGCCTCCACGCAGGCGACGAGGACAATTGATGCAACCTGCATGACTTTGATAACAAATGGGTAACATTTCCCATAAAATCCCGGTCAAAGCTTGCAGGCCCCCTCGCACCCTGCGGGCTATCGCCACCACTGGATAGCACTGCTGACAATGGTTTACATACAAATTAATGGAATAAAAGCATGTAAGCTATTCCAGTTGGCTAGGAGCAAAATAACTGCTACAGCTATTAAATACCTAGGAACGACATGGAATAAAGTGTCTTTATATTTACCACTGGAGGACCAGGACAGTAGATTGTCTTGCACCACATGGGGTCACTATGGTAACAGACACACATAGAACACATGTTTGGTCCAGGTATGTAGATCAGCCCATGTGTTATGTTCTGACCTTCGAAGTCAACACAATTGGCTTCTGTCTGCGCCGATTCTGTAAGCAAGCAAATATATATGTCAGACTTGTTCATTTCTCTCACTCCGGACGCTGTAATTGTTTTACCATAACTTAATAAAAGTTGGTAAATAGTTCACACATTCTGTTTTTAGGTTAGGAAATTTTAGGTTTTCGAAAATTTGCTGATTGATATATATATATATTTTATTTTTAAGAAAATACACATAACTCTTGATGCAATTGTCATGCAAGCATATCATTCAGTGAACAGCCAGTGTTTTCTTTGGATAAATGCATATAAATAGATCATATAGTCCATACCCTAGTGAAATATATTTTCCTATTATTTTTTTCCCTATTTCAAGTGAATATATTTTGGAGATTCAACTACTGTAATGAAGAATCCTGAAGTTTACTTAACAAAGATCTGGTTTCATTCAGAGGTATATCAGTAGCTATTTCCCCAATCAAATTCTGCTCGGTAGTAAGTTACTCATAGCCTCCCTTATTTTGTGGCCTATTATCTTCATCTTTTGAACCAATAGATTTAAATTTGTTTCTTAAAAGTAGGTGAATATAGCCAGGAATGTGTTACATACTAGTACTATCAAATCTTTCTAAAAAATAATTTCTTTTCAAACATGTATGAAATATAACATGAATAAGATTTTTTTGTATTAATGTCAGGTCTCGTTTGTACAGGAGTAAATTGAAATGTTGACCACATTGTGTGACTTTTATGTAAAATTTTTGTAAGCCAATTTTATTTGTAACAATTTTATTTAATGACGTCCCTCTTATCCGGACACCTTTTAACTGGACATAGGATTAACCTACACTGGACATCGGTCAGACTACACTCGACGGAAATGACATCTCATCAACGGGACAATTTTTATCATCACATATTGGTTTACCGGACTAGATCGGCAGGACATGTGCGCTACTGAAACGACTGTTCTCGTGGGAAAGATTTGAGACCAGTGATCACATGTCTAAATTACAATGTTCTCCTAAATTTAAGTCGAATATAACAGTAAACGGCCCGTTTTAACGAATTTTTGGGGACGTCGGCTTAACCGGAAAACCCGTTATCTGGACTGGCCTCGGTCCCGAGGAGTCCGGATAAGAGAGAGTCTATTGTATTACTGATATATGGCATTCTCGGTGAATCCTGAGATTAAAAGCCTGAATATGAAAATGTTGAAAAAATTTTTTTAATTTTGAAGGGATTTCTACCTTTTTTCTCAAGAAAAATATATGATCTTTTGAAATTTAGTTCCTCATTATTATTTGTCAAACGTTTAACGTTTGTATAGATAGTTTGATTCAAATCGACAAAGTATACCGATATAGACACTAATATGTACACAAGGAAAATATATACAAATTCAGGAGATTTAAAAGTGCAAAAATAATATCATGCACTTACCTTCAAAACTCCAGATTTGGCTCCAATGAATTCAAGTTCTTTCCTAATGTGGTAGTTTAATGTCTTGATTATTTGTAGTGGGCTGTTTCTGAGCTAGTGTATTTATATCTTGTATTGAATAGTTTCAATATTGTTTAAAGCTTGATCAGGTGTTCATTAATTTGATCAGTATGACTCGTTATATACATCCCTTTTTATGGTTAGGTGTAGTCTCTCAAGTATTCAAATCATACCAACAACTATAAATCCTGAATTTAGAAAAAATTTAGCCTATTATCTGACTTTTGGAAGCGGGTTATTTCTTCTCCCTGATAGAGATGATAATAATAATAAAAACCCTAGTAGGTGGGTTCGGAACCACAGGATCTGGCGGTCATACATTATCTTATAACTACAACATGCACACCATAAGTGAATCCACCCCTCCAAATTACGAGTTCTATAATCTGACCACTCAGCTCAGTGATTATAGTTCTCGCCTAGTAATGAAAAGGTTTGTTCCTGACAAAAGTGTGTAGCTTTTTGATGGTTTCAACTGTGCCAATAGCTGTCCTTGATTGTTTGAGTTTTTAATAAATGATCCTGACTAATGAAACAGCTGGTCTAAGTCAGTAACAAAGCTACACCACGCATCACACTACATTCTTCATTCATATTTGTGTTGAAATACGCACATAGGTGTCGTCGTCGTCCCCATTTCAAATGATAGTAATAATAATAATGTTTGGTTTACTAAGTTCTTTACACTTTTGTCAGCTTCCAAATTTTGGATCTGTCAGGCTGAAGAAAGAACTTACGTGTTAATACCCCCCTCTTAACTTTTAACTGGGTTACACCAGGAAAATTAAACTCTGCACACCTTTGATAAAGCAAAATTTTCTGTCAATGTTACAATTTTGCCCAGGAAAATTAAACACAGCTCACCTTTATATTGTGTGAAAGCAATTTTTTTCTGTCAATGTTACAATTTTGCCCAGGAAAATTAAACTCAGCTCACCTTAATAGTGTAAAAGCAATTTTTTCAGTCAATGTTACATTGTACAATTTTGCCCAGGACCCGAAAATGGGTATTTTACGGGAAGCTCAAAAATTGTAAATATAAAGCTCCCACGAGTGAAACCTCATTTAAAGGACTTTATTCAAGAAAAACAGAGATGCCTACTAGAGGTCTCTATCTCAGTCCAGTACAAAATGGTGTTACTCTAAAACTTTTATCAGCCTGTGAGATTCTTGTAAATGTATTTATTATGTCTTTTCAAATGTAAAAGACCCTAGGCACGTCACGTGCCTAGTGTGCCTTATGGTAAATCCGCTACTGTGTTTGAAACGTCGGCACCCACTCTTACTTCAGTCAACACTATCTAATCCACAAACCATATTCTTCATTGTATAACCCCCTGGAAGCCTATTTCATTCCTAAAGCCCCCCATACACGGGCAAACATGTTTGCGAGCAAATTCGTGACGGTGTTGACGGCGAACATGCTAGCCCGTGTGTGGGGTCTGCGAGCCTTCATACCGGAGAGCATGTTGGGCTCGGCGCTCGGCTCGTCGGACTGTCACAGCACGAGAGAAGCAAGAGTTCTGTTTGGTGGCGGCAAACAAGTCTGCGAGCATACTCGACTGTCTGTTGGAAATGCCGAGCATGTTCGCGAGCGTGTCCGCCAACAGGCTCGCGAACATGCTCACCCGTGTATGGGGGGCTTTAAGGTTCACGACAAATTGTAGTATACTCGTTTCCAACACATCACAATCAAAATATTTTGACGCTTGTTTTGAGCATCAAAACCTCAAATATTGCTTATGCAACTGCACATTATGATTTAATTTTGAATACTTTCTCGCAGTGTCGTACCACTTAGACAATTTTCTGTATAATCCATACCAAAACGATAGGTGAATTAGACTAGTTCCACTATGTTGCAAGCAATTATTGGTCAGTGCTGTCAGCTAACACATTTGGACATGTCACTAGGTGAGGATTAGTAAACAAACTCCATTCCAGGCTCACATACATGCCATCATGCTGACATGCCGCACACTCATGCATGACTCAGGCTCAGGACATATGAGATGTATGATACGATTATGTCACAATATAGTCCCTGGTACCAAACCATAAAGATGTCTATATAGTATATTACTGGACCGATACAAAAGTTAAACCTGGGCAGAACCCAACTTCTCAGTAGAAACCAAAGGAAGATCAACACTCTAGTGGATTGTTTTAGATTTTATTACTTAGTAATTCAGTTTTAAAGTACAATATATGAAAAGACGAGAAAAGTGGATTGAGAAGTTTGTATGTTACATTTATGTTCATGCTTACACAACAATATGTAAACCCATAAATTACAAAGTGGAAATTTTAACTTGTGAATGATTATGTTTTTATATTTGCATATGAGTAATTTTACGATGTGTTGTAAGTGTACAGCATCAGGGCACTTATGTAAGTTTGGGCAACATAAAGTAACAATACAAACCAGCAATATTTTGCGGCTAACAAACTCAGAATACAAAATCGTATTAAACATATTTATTCTGTTGTTAGGTTTAAAATTCATAAAGAGTAAATTCATTTCAATTTTCATCGATACAAAGAAATGAACAAAATCTATAACAGATTTTACAACTTGTTGCGTTTCATACTCTAATGACATCAATATAAATATAGCTTATAACTTACCTATAAAATAAATAAAAAAATGTGTAACAAATTTATAATTCCTACAGTGTACCTGGTCCACCACATAAGATATATTGTCTCACCACATAACTAGAGTTAGTTAATGTAGAACAAATCATACTCCCTTAGGCACCTTATTAAACATTTGTTCAATTAGACTACTATTGTCAATTTTAAAATAATAATAATACGGAATGATTCTTTAATTTAATTTCATTCATGTATTGTAAGTGGAAATAATATTTTATTGATTTGCAAGAAATAGTTCATCATTAATCTTCTAGATGAAGAACTGATCAAAATCCGTACACTTAACTTTATTTTACTGCTTGAAAAAAGATTGAGCGTAGAGTGTAAGCAAGTAGACTTGTTTTACTTACACATTTGTATGAGACAACAATAAAAAAGTACATATTCATGTACACTTGCAAACTGATTCAATTTTTAGTTACATTTGAAATTCAATAATCAAAGAAATTGTCTCGTAAAACTTATAAAAAAAAATACCAATGTGAAAAAAAATACATTATACATCACAATTTGGGACTGAAGTGTGCGTAAAAAAACAAATCAGTTGTGCAGGAACATCAAGCCTAAACACATAGTGAGTGCAGGTTTGCACTCGGGTTACGACTGAAATTGACACTGAAAAGGCTTATTTTGTAAATCACATTTTGTTTCTGACACAATTATCTCAAGTGCATTACGAACGACAACAACATGAAAACCATGGAACATCTAAACAGATGAAACATTTAGGGAACATCATCCAAGGGCTGAAGACTTACCATCCTCAAATCTGAGAGTAGCTGAGAAAACAAACATAATTGTCAGAATTTTATATAAAATTAAATATGGGGGATAAAATACTGGAATGTAATTGTAAGCCTTAACATAAGTTAAGAAGAGGAAATCA